CCCCCCCCCCACCCCAACCAGGCCAGACTGCAGGCTGCACCCTTTCACTCCTGGCCACCTGGACTGGCTTCCCATGCGAATCTAAGAAGCCAGGCACACACAGCTGCTTCCTGCCACCCCCAGCCAGGTTCGGAAGGTTTCTTTTGGCCTTTGCAACCTTCTGTGCTGCAGATCAGGAAACTGAGGCCAAGAAGCCTTCCCAGGATGCCCTGTGGGACCAGAGTACATGGGCCTGCCCTGCTCAGCCAGGTGCACCCAGCATAGACCATCGGGGAGAGTCACCGTACCTGTCACCTGTGCCCTGTTCCCCACAGCAGCCCCTGCCGTGTGGGGTGGGCAGTTTGTGGCTCACAGCGTGAAAACGACGAGGGTGTGGAACCCGGGGTTCACCAGTGACCGCGGGATTTCTCAGCGTTTGTGCAAAAGCAGCCAGGACAGGCATGTGGTCCCCTCCTCTCCTCTTGTCCAGTCTCCCCTAAGTGCCGTATCGTGAGGTTTCTGCAGCCGTGAGCTGGGGAAGGGGGTCCTGATAGCTGAGACCTTGCCCCAGATGCTTCCTGCAGTGCTTTTAGGGGACCACCCCCCCCAAGTCACCTTCCTGATCTGGAAGACACAGATGCTGCTTCAGTCTGTTTTTTATCACACTTGCAATAAATCACCCCAAATGCAACTGCTCGAAACGAGACACTGGTTCCACTCAAGGTCTCCCGGGGTCCAAACTGGGGCGTCCACCCACTGGGTCCCTGCGGGCATCCCCCGGATAACGATGAGCACGAGTGGTGGGGGCCGTCAGCAGGGGGCAACCCTGGGCTCCTGGAGGCCCCTCTCTGGCCCCGGCGGGTGTCCCCCAGACCCCTCTTCTTGCAACGCGTGCCCCTTGCCCTCTGCCGTATCTCTGTGCCTCCAGCTGGACAAGGTTGTCTGCTTTTGAGGGCTCGCGGGATTAGAACGGTCTGAGCAGGTTAATCTAGGATTACCTGCCTATTTTCAGGTGCATAGCTAAGTGACGTCTGCAGAGTCCCCTGTGCCGTGTGACGATGCACGCTCACGGCTGCCGCGGGGACGCGGGCCCGGCCACTGCCTGGCCTGCTACAGCGTGGTCTAGAGATTCCTGTCCGTTCGAGGAGCCGCGGGCCCCACCGCTTGGAGGTGGGTTGATCTGGGCCCGAAGAGGAAGGCACAACCCCAAGGCTGAAACCCTCTGTGGGAAGACGGTGAGGCAGAACGGGGCTCCCGTGTGGTTGTCCCGTGGCCACGCCCTCCCGCAGGTGCCCCGTGCGCAGTGCGAGGACCTCATGATAACCCTAAGGGCTCCGGACTGTGTTTACAGTTTTCCTTGTTTTAAAGTCGGGGGTGGGGAGGGGGGCCCCTGGGTGGCTCAGTCGGCTAAGCGACTGACTCTCGATTTCGGCTCAGGTCATGCTCTCACGGTTCTTGAGATCGAGTCTGGCCTCAGGCTCCGCACGGGGTGCAGAGACTGCTTGGGATTCTCTCTCTCCCTCCCTTGCTGTCTGCCCCTCCCCTGCTGATGCTCAATCTCTCTCTCTCTCTGCCAAAATGAATAAGCAAACTTAAAAAATAAAGAAATAAAAAATAAAG